TTCCTCCAAAGGCCGGCAGCCGGCCGGCTTGTTCCTGCCGAGGTGACGGAGGGGGAAGGGGATAGGGAATGGACGGAGGGGGAAGGGGGAAGGGAACGAGCCCTGGCGCGGCCAGGCGCCTGGCTCTGTCTCCCCCTTCACCTCCTCCTCTTCCTCGGAGGAGGAGGTGGCCAGCGCTCAGCCCAGGGCCGGTGGCGAGCAGCGCTTCAGCTGGCTTGCTCCTCCCGGGGCGGCGGCGGCAGGGGAAGGGAAAGGGCCCGGCGCCTGGCTCCCCATCTCCTGCTTCACCTTCTCCTCTTCCTCCGGAGGCTCCTTTTGAACGCCTGCCGGCCAGCTGGGGAGAAATGCCAGCTGATCAGCATTTCCAAAATGGCTGCCCGCTGTTTTCTGGATGGATTCCTCACTTACCGAGGCAGTGAAAATGGCCGCCCCTATGGAGGATCCTTGCTGAACTGTGAGTTTTTGCCCCATAGGAACGCATTAAACAGGGTTTAATGAGTTCCTATGGGGTTTTTCTTTCCGTTTAGTGATGTTCCCGTATAGCGACGTTAATCCTGGAACAGATTAACGTCGCTATGCAGGGCACCACTGTACTGGAACAAAGAACTACCCTACCAACTTTCTTTAGAAGTGTTACCTACTTGACCTTTCTCTTTATACTTTGCAATATTATATATCTGTTACTGTTGTCCATTGACCAGATGATTCTGGTCCAGTAGGACCTTTGTCTCGTTCTATGCCCAAACGTCTTCACAGAGGACTCAGTGCCACCGTCCTCCATGTAACATATTGTTCTTCAATGGTCTATACATCATTCTGAAATCACTCGGCCATTGGAGCACGTTTAGCTTCTAATGCCAAATTGCTTATTCTCAAACGGCCTTCCTAGTGGCAGTCATATTTGCCATAGGAACCCGCGACGTGGCCGGACTGTAATCTGATCTAGCTTTATCCACTCTTCCTGATGAAGTGACTTCCTACTTTAATGTGTCATTCCTAGCCTGAGATTTCATATTTATCTATGCTTGATCTTACCATCATTCTGCAGACCACCATCATCGCTTCTAGAGCACATGCTCCATAATACTGATGTAAGATGCTCACCAGAATTTTGTCTGGACACTATCAGAACTTCGGAACAAATAATAGGCTCTTTTTATGCTTTCAGACCTCTCACTTCCAAAGCCCAGCTTCATCCTATCCATCTCTAGATCGATGGTCCAGACTGTGTCTATGGCTTACCAGCAGCCAGACGACTCACCGTCTAATCTGCTTTAGGCTCGCTCCACAGGGTTGTTTGCCTCAACTACATCTAGAGTAGAATCAAGTCTCTTGGCATCTACTATGCATCAATATGATCTGTGCTATTCACATTTGCGGAGCACTACCGGTTAGCCGTAGGAACACGCAATACCACTGGATTTGGCAGAGCTGTGTTGGCATCCTTCCTACTGTGACGCCCCACCGGCCAATAAATGCAGCTTGCCAGTCACCCATATGTGTGTATTCACAGAGGCCACGAAGAAGAAAGAAAGGTTACTTACCTGTAACCATGGTTCTTCGAGTGGACCTCTGTGAATTCACACTACCCACCCATCCTCCCCTCTGTCTGTGCCTCATGGGGGATTGTCCCATAAAATTGTTACTTTTAGCTCTGGAATGCTCCGAGAACATCAGCGCAGGCACAGACTAAACCCATATGTGTGAATTCACAGGGGTCCACTTGAAGAACCATGGTTACAGGTAAGTAACCTTTCTTTTTGCACTCAGAATCAAACCAGGGCTTTGTATAGAGAACACAATTAGACAATTTGCATAGCTTTTTACATGTTAGATGAGTTTGCAAGGATTGTACCTTGTGTTTATAGGCCTCTAAGACTGGTTCCACTGAACTAAGAGAAGTAATTAATTTACTGAAATCTAAATAAGGCTCTGAGAACAACAGCTGTCTCATTGTTGTTGTTGTTTAGTTGTTAAGTCATGTCCGACTCTTCATGACCCCATGGACCAGAGCATGCTAGGCCCTCCTGTCTTCCACTGCCTCCTGGAGTTTGGTCAAATTCATGTTGGTAGCTTTGGTGACACTGTCCAACCATCACGTCCTCTGTCGTCCCCTTCTCCTCTTGCCTTCACACTTTCCCAACATCAGGGTCTTCTCTTCTTATCAGATGGCCAAAGTATTGGAGCCTCAGCTGTCTCATAGATGCATCCAATTCTTCTGATCACTTAATGCAAGCCCCTCTTGTATCTGCTGCAATGGGTGTTATAGGAGCAAGGTCCGCAAACACATTGTAATTATTAAAATAAATCTTTAAAACCACTAACAAGAATTTTTCATACTAATGGGGGTAAACATGTTCTATCGGCGATACAAGTTTTTAAGGCCAGGATTATTTCACAAATGTTTTATGGCTCTCAAATATCCGTCTATGCTAATTTACAACCTCTGGAAATTGTTCAGACCAAATTTGCGAGAGCCATCCTTGGAGTTCCACCTTGTACTTTCAATGTGGATCTTTGCTTAGAGATAGGGTTAATATCCATTAAAGCATTGGCTAAAGTCCTTATGGTAAAATACTGGCTTAAACTGATTTTTTCATTTTTTCATTGGCCCCACTGATCCTACTAGATTCTTTTCAGTCAGAGTGGAAGAAGCATATAACTGAAGAGATATCAAAAATTGGCTTTTTCCCCAGTATACTTATAGCAGTGGGTCTCACGGATGCCATGAAAGCAATGAAGTTAAGGGTATGGGATACTGAACTACAGGACCATGCTGGCCAGTTAGGAAAGTCTAACTTTCTTAAGAAATCTGCTTTTATCATCTCCTCATATTTAGCTAGCACTATGTCATCTAAAGCCATAAGGGCTTTTACGCTAGCTAGGCCTTCTAAGTTTCTGGAGGGAAGATTTTGAGGTTTGCCTACATCAGATTGTCTCTGCCTTTGTAATAGTGATAAAGTTGAATCAGTTGGTCATTTTCTCCTTTTCTGTACTTGCTATCAGGATCTATGTATGGAGCTTTTACTACTTATTATCTGCAAATCTCCTGGGAGATCAAAGGAGGATTATGTACAGATGCTACTTTCTGACAATACCCCTTATATTATGAGACAAGTGGCCAAATTTTGTGCTGCAGCAATGGTTATTCGTGTTCAGGTGTTTGGGTAGGTGATTTTAGATGAATAATAACGTGCTTTTAATATAACACTGGCTGATATTTTACTTATACTAAGGATTTCCGATGTTATTAACTGGAAAGTAGGGGTTGTTTTATCATGTTTAAATGGAAATTCTATAATTCTGCCTGATTTTATGAAACTACAATTATACATATGTATTTTATATAGATTTGGTTTTACTGGTCTTTGACCGTAATAAAGTATTCATTCATTCATATTGTGGGGAGATGAGGCTAAGCTAAGAAAAAGTGTATCAGGTGGTCAGTTTACACATGAATAATTACTTGAACCAATTCAAAACTGCAAGCTTTATATCATACCTGCCGTTAGTTCCTTACCTTAAAAGCTTTGTTTAATATGCCTTCTTTTCTCTTGAAACCTCGAAGACCTTGTCCTTCATCCTGAACAAATGGCAAAACTTTGTGGGCAAATGTCAGAGAATCAATTGGTATTTTATTCTGCCGAGCGTAATTCTGAAGAATAGCAGTAAGAAATCCTACAGGAGTAAAAGACACATGTCTGTGAGTGGTATGTGATGGAGCAAAGATTGTGGGAATAGCAGAGGGATGCTATTCTCAAGTGTAATTTACTAACAATCACTTTTGTGACTTTAACTAACTTTTGTATTAAGGAACTGAAATGCAATGCCCATATTTGGCAACATTTCAGATAAAATTTGTCATCCATTTCTCAAAATGTTTCTAAAATGCACACTTGTCTTAACTCCACATTTTGCATTTGCTGATGCTTCTGAATGCAGCCACATGCAGACTGCATGACAGTGGTCAAACTAGAAAGTCATTAAGGCATGAATCACTCTGGCTAAATCAATCTTTTTTTAAGGATAGTGGCACTGTAAGCCAAAGAAATACATGACTTTCCAAGAGCAACACTAGATCTAAGAGCACACCCCAGGCTGTGAATCTGGTCTTCCAGATTTAGTGAAACCACACTCAAATTATGTTGTGACCACTATCTGATCGACTTTTCTGCTGACTGACAGAATGTCTGTCTTGCTTAGCCTGAGCCTTGTTCACTCATATCCAATCCCTTACTGCAGTAGTCTCCAACCTTGGGACTCCAGATGTTCTTGGACTTCAACTCCCAGAAATCCTGGCCAGCAGAGCTGGTGGTGAAGGCTTCTGGGAGTTGTACTCCAAGAACATCTGAAGGCCCAAGGTTGGGGACCACTGGTATGTAGAATATCTGAGCCACAGAGTATTTTTTATGCCTAGCTTATATGTATAGCTTATAAGTGCTTTTATACTTAGCTTAGTGGGTCGGGGCACTGCAGAGTTCCATTCCCCACTGTGTCTGCTAGAGCAGTGATCCCCAACCTTGAGTGTCCTAATTTTCTTGGACTACAATTCCCAGAAGCCTTCACCACTACCTCTGCTGGCCAGGATTTCTGGGAGTTGAAGTCCAAGAACATCTGGAGGCCCAAGGCTGGAGACCACTGCCTTACTGTATCCAGACAATGATTCAGGACTTCCTCTGCTTCCTTGGCACAATTTGAGAAAATGAGAGAAACCGCCTCAGTTGTGAGATCCAGTCCAAAAATCTAGATGCCCTGGGGACTTCATATGAATGTTGAAAAGCCTAGGGAATGATACTGAGCCCTTAGGAATCCAAAAGGCCATAAGGCTGAACTGCAGGCCCCCAACACTATCTGAGCACATTCAGCAAAACAGAAGTTGTAAAATGGTGTCCCTAAATGCCACATCATCCCTGTGACCCAGTGGAATACCTTCATCAATAGTATCAAATGCTATTGAGAAGTACAATAGAACCAAAAGGTCATTTACCAAAACTGTTTCTGTGCCCAAATTAGGGCTGGGTGCAGATCACAACAGGTCCAAGAAATTGCTGATGAGTGGGAGATTCTTATCAATATTCTCTGCACTGCATGCCATCCTTCCTCCCTGAGTGTTGTGGGAACCACAAGGAGGGGAATCCAGAAGGGAAAAGAAGTTGGTGAAAGAGAGATTACTTACCTGTAACCATGGTTATTCAAGTGGTCCTCTGTGAAGCCACACCTGTGTAGGACCTCTCGGAAGTGTCTAGAGCTTAAAGACATGTGATTAGTGGGATGTTCCCCTGTAGAGTGCATGCTCCACCCTCTCGAAGTCTCCTCAGTTCCCAAAGTCCCCCATTGTCAGAAAGCAGATTGAGACAACGTGACGGACAGAGGGGAGGATGGGCGGGATGTGTGAATTCACAGAGGACCACGTGAACAAGCCCTTTGATAAATGAGGGCCATTTCACACCAAACACCGAAGGGCGTTACCCTCGACAGGCAAAGCTCTGACATGTAGGGCTAGCCGCAGGGAAGGGGCCCATTGTATCCCCAAAGGGAAACTCAAGCCTTACCTTATGTCACCGGCACTTCTGCAGCCTCGGCATGCAGCTCCCTCTGGAAGGTGCAGCTACATGAGCAGGCGCACGAAGGAGGGTTGGTGTGCGGCACTCAGAGGCGCTTCCCATGTCAGGAAGAATCACTGACAGTCAGGGAAGGTGACCGGCACTACAGGAGGCCCTTTTTCTCCTAGGGACAGGGTGACAGAGCCCTAACTCCTGCGGGGTCAAAACAGTTGTATGAACGAGCCCCTTGAAAAATCATCCATCGATGATTCACCAGTCTCTCTCATGATTGCTCATAGAGAGGCTTTGGTGAGACATGCCTCCTGTTCCCTTTCCTCTCCTCATGAGATAGAGGAAAAGACTCGAGCTCCAACTCAGGAACATCAAATGCCTGCCCTCATGTTGGGCTAAAAAGGGCCACAGCCGGACTGGATGGTAGCGCAGTCACTGAATGGCCAGTTGGAGGAGAGAGGCTATCAGGTGATCCCGGAGTCTGTGCAGGTAAAGCTGGCACATCGTCTCCTCGGAGGCAAATTCGCTAGCCTCCATCGAGGATTCCTCTGTTGATGTAGACTTAGATTTAAGGATTCCTTGGCATTGTCGGGTCCCCTACAGGATCGGGGGGAAGCTATGTGACAGGAAACCGGGAGTGTCACCCGATCTATTTTTCACGTGACTAGCCAGTTGAAGTAGCCGAAAAAGCAAGGTAAAGGCAAACTCGTATAAGGAGATCCGTGCGGCCTGCACCTATCTGGGTAAGAAGTAGCTTACTCAGGCAGAAAATCATTAATGTGCCCGAGAGTCAAAATAGCCAAATAGCTGGCAAGCAAAACAGAAAACAACTCACGGGGGATCGTAGATTAGATAATTAGATTAGGGAAAGAATCCAATTTAGAGGGAATTGATCAATAAGCTAAGGCAGTGGTTCTTAACCTTTGTTACTCGGATGTTTTTGAACTGCAACTCCCAGAAACCCCAGCCAGCACAGATGGTGGTGAAGGCTTCTGGGAGTTGCAGTCCAAAACTCCTGAGTAACCCAAGGTTAAGAACCAGTGAGCTAAGGGAAAAACCCTGTGGATCATCCCATAAAATTGTTACTTTTAGCTCTGGAATGCTCCGAGAACGTCAGCGCAGGCGCAGCCTAAACCCATATGTGTGTATTCACAGAGGCCACGAAGAAGAACCATGGTTACAAGTAAGTAACCTCTCTTTCTTCTTTGTGGTCTCTGTGAATGCACACAATTGGGTGACTAACAAGCTCACTTACCAGTTGGTGGGATGTCACGTCAGGAAGGAAGTCAGGACAGCCCTGCCAAAGGCTGCATCATTTTTAACTCGGGATACAAAAGTTGATGGAGTTGACCATGTGGCAGCACAACAGATGTGTGAAACGTCAATGTCATGTTGAAAGGCAGTAGATGTGGAGACAGCCTGGGTGGAATGGACCCTGAGGGTCTCAGGAGGTGTTTTGCCTGCTACTTCATAGGCCAAGGAGATTGCCTGTACAGTCCATCTAGACAGAGTTTGAGGTAATGCTGGTGAGCCCTTACAAGGGACGTGAAAGCATATGAAGAGTCTAGGGGTGTAAGCGGGTTCAGGATTAACCTTATGCTGTTCATCATCAGGCAATACAAATGATGAGTCTGAATTATTAAATAAAGAGTTTTTATTAACACAACTGGTACTTACATCTTTGTTAAACTCAACAGGATTTTGCAACGTTAACTGAGGTGGGGAACTTTCCCAAAACCATAACAGGGATTTTTCATTGTTTAAATCTTTTAATAATATGTTCTTGCCACTTTCTCCTCCTCAGTCGGCAGTCTCAGGAACCTGCTGCAGACTATGCACAGGGTCCCGCAACAGGGATGGCGGGCCCATTCTCCCTCTCTCACTATCTCTCTCTCCATAGCTGGATCCAACTGGTGAACCAACCGCTCAGGACCCTGACCCTTGGGATACACATCAAGACTGTCCATTCTTCTGGACTCAGACCAGCTATTATAGGTCGCACCTTTCCTCTTATGGAACCACCTTCTCTTTCCTCCCCTTCACTATTGGTGGCTCTCTTTAAGGGGACAGAAAAGACTTGTATTTCTTTGTCAGACCTTTCAGTGACAGCTTCCTTAAACACAGTTATTTTTTCTGTTTCTTTAGTTACAGTTCCCTCTTCAGTTGTTAAGAAAATATCAACTCTTTCCCTTTCGCTTCCCCACTCCTCTCCTGCTTCAGTCGTTTCTAACAGCTTAAACTGTTCTCTCGTGACTCTCTCTGTCTCGAGTCCCCTCTATCACCATCGTGCAACTTTCTTTCTCCTCTCCAGCTCCTGCTTCTGCCTTTTGCTCATTCCCTCGTTCTGTTTCTATTTCCCTTTCTTGTTCTATCATCTCTTCTATCTTAGGCGTTTGAGGGGACGGCTCACTCTCTGGTGTTCTTTTTGTCTCCTCCTCAATGTGAAAGGCCAAAGACCATCTGGTATCAAGCATGTGGAGCATGCACTCAAGATCCGTCGTAGAAGATAAGAACAATGATGGGAGTACTAAGGGTTGACTCAGGTGAAATTCAGACACAACTTTCAGCAGAAAGGAAACATCTGGAAAAAGAGTGACTTTATCAGGATAGGTCCGACCTGAGGGCTGAGAGTTCACTAGCCCATGTGGCTGATGTAATAGCAACTAGGAATAAGGCTTTTAAGAAAGAAATTTGAAGTTAATGGTGGCCATAGGTTCAAATGGGGGTTGAGTGAGGGCATTGAGAATAAGTTGTAGAGACCACTGTGGTAGAAGGGGGCACTGAGGAGGTTGAGTGTTATGAAGGCCCTTGAGAAATGTCTTTAATGTTGGGTGAGAAAAAAGTCGAGCAGAGTCAGAGTGAGATGGTTGGTGTGCTGCAATGGCAGCAATGCATACCTTTAAGGTGGAGTGGTATAGTCCATGGTGAAAAAGATGAAAGAGAAAGGTAAGTAATGTCTGTAAGGAAACTGGTGTTGTTGAAAGGTTTTTGGAAAGAGCAAAGGATGAGAATATTTTCCATTTATTATCATAAAGAAGTTGTGTAGAGGGCTTTCTAGCTTTGTCAAGGACAGCTCTTATGGCGGGAGTATCCTCCATGCTGTAAGGTTGAGAGATTTGAGGT